GTCTTTCTCTGACTGACTTATTTCACTTAGCATAATGTTCTCTAGTTCCATCCATATTGTTGCAAATGGTACTATTTCCTTCTTTATAGCTGAGTAATACTCCATTGTGTAAATGTACCAAAATTTCTTTTTTTTTTAATTTATTTATTTATTGTTAGTTTCAGGTGTACAGAACAATGCAATAGTTACCCTTTTCACCCTCCCAATCCAGTCATCTACCGATAGGCATTTTGGTTGGAAAAACAGCTTTTTATTTTGTTGTTTTAATTTAGTGTTCCTAAAGAGATGACTTTTAGAATATTTAGGGTTTCCAGAGATATAAAGCAGCACCTAATTAGCTAGTGAAGCACTGGAGTGAATATAATCCTGTATGTAAATAATAGTAAGATGTTACAAAACATTTTCTTTCTTACGGGGAACATAAGGTGTGTACTTACTATTTCTCAGATACACTGGAGGTTAAAATAAAGAGAAAATACAGGACTTCTTTTTGAGGAACCAAGGTCCTTAAAACACCATTGGACATCACTAATATAAAATTGAGTAGAGATTTTATTTAATTTCAAAGTTAAGAATTTTTATTGTACAATTTTTAAGGTCTCATGTACAAATTTTCATTTTATTGTTTTTCTTTGAGTGTGATGTTGCATTGCACTATATTTTACAACGTCATGTAAATCTGTTAAATCTATTTCTCTCTCTCTCTCTCTCTCTCCCTCCTTCTCTCTCTTCCCCTCCTCCCCACCCCCCACCCCACCAATCACCTCTTTAATGTTCTTTCTTTCTTTCTCAAGGCTCAACAAAGCACTCCAGGAAGCAATGACAGCTCTCAAGTTGTGACAACAAAGGACGAAAAGCTGAAAATCCCTGAGTGCAATTCTGAAAATGTAAGATTAACTTAAAATGGTTTTAGCAGTATTCAACATGAAAAACAAGGACATAAGCATTTTAACAATTCTAGTTCATGTCACCATGAGACTTTGTATCTATATGAAGTAACTACTATTTAAACATTGTACTTTTAATTTGAAAAAGCAGATGTTCTTTAGATGTGAATCAGATAGGTGTTCCATTAAGAAGTATAACCAGACTCTTAGGAGCACCATGAACTTGAGCTGTCAGAGATAAAGGGGTGACCACACTTGAGCAGCCTGCTCTTTTCCACAACCACATGACAGAAACCTGTTAAAATATTAAAAACAAACAAAGACCCAAAATGATTCTATAGTATTTCCATGTTCCATATATATGGAATAAAGTAAATAAACCTAGCATTATAGAGACATTACATTAAAGAAAGGGGGATTCTTAATATTCAAATGATAATAGGTAACATAGAACTTGTGCCGGTGGGTGTTGTTTATTTTTGTTTGTTTTTGTTTTTTGCTTTGTTTTGTTTTAATTACAAATATAATGAAATTTTAATTCTGGAACTTTGGCACAATTACAGATCTATCATGTCCAATAGCAAATAACAATCGTGTTGTGTAGACTGAAAGTTTGGCTTTAATCTAGTTAACAAAATGCAAAGTATCTCTTAGTCAATCCTGATTGAAAAGAAATCAGGCTACAGCAAAGAATAAGTCAAAATAGAAACATAAGTGAACCAAGTCGATCTCTATTTCCTCTATTGGCTCCAAAAATGAATTTAGAAATATGAATTTCTCATCAATTTTCCCTTCATATCTTTGTATATTTAAACATATACCAAAGCCATACAAGTTAGTACATAATAAGGTCAATTAGAATAGAAATAAAATACTCTGCAATTTACTTCCAAGGGAGGAAGAAGTCAAGAAGATTTGGGGTAGGAAGGAATATTTTGTTGTAGTTTGCAGGACAGCTAGGTCTCTGACAAGGTAAGCAAATGTGCAGAGAGAAGAATACAGAATAATATGGTTCAAAAATACAGGGCAGAAAGTGGTAGGATATGTGCCTAAAACGATAATTTGGGACTGAGGTGTGCAGGGCCCTAGATTTCCAAGCAAAGGAGTTTGGTTTGAATTAGGGATGTAGTCAAAGTTTTCAAATGTTAGTGTCCAATTAAGTCATAAGATCATTGGGTTAATATTAAGGAGTTTATATTTCTTGATATATTTTCTTAAAAGTACCAATAAATTATTTTTCACGTTATGCATATATAAAATCATTATGTTGTACACCTAAAACAATGTTATATGTCAATTACATTTTAATAAAAAAAAAACACCTTGGAAGCTTCTGGCCTGCACCATTGTAGGTAATGCCCAGGCTTGAGCCTTAGAGGCCCCCCCAACTGAGGCCTTGGTTCAGGAGGAATTCAGTTACCTTATCCCTGCCTCTGTACAGATGGATGTGTGCCTTGAGCAAATCGTTCTTGTAATGAGGTAGCCAAAGCACCTGAAAGGACAAAGAACAGTGACTTCATTAAGATTATCCAACAAACAAACAAACAAACAAACAAAATGTTCCCATTGGAGGCAAACTTGAAAAGTTCTCTGTGTTTTGCTAAGGTTCCCAAAAGCAACATTCTGGTCTACTTTTCCTATCAAGAGTGAGACCTGCTCAAAATCATACATTGTTTTTTGTTGTTTGTTTGTTCCACTCTCCTACTTTTGTCCTTCCTGTCACTGATAATTCCTGTCCTATCCACGAGTCCCATAAGCAGCTACTACCAATCTGGGTCCCTTCAAAACGCTGCCTCCACTGCACCAATGTGAATACCTAGATGCTAGTATTTGGAGTCACTACTTTCAAGAAGTTACACTTGCTAGTACACAGCATTCAGTACTCATAGGCTGTAGACTCAATTCCATTTAAAGGCCAACAGAGTAATTAATATAAATGAGTGAAATAAGCCAGGTGTAAGCAGCAGGAATGAGTGAGACTGGTGTGAACATCAACTTTCAAATTCTAGACCTATAGCTCCTAGCCCTGTCCTTACAATAGTGTATCACCTGGAGAGTTCTTAGAAAATACTGATGCCCAGGACCGACATCAGGAAAATTAACTGGACATCTTGGTAGGTGGGGGTCTAGACATTAGTTGAATTTATTTATTATTATTATTTTTTAATTTCCCCAGATAATTGTGACATGCAGGCCAGTTTCATTAACACTGTCTTTTATATGTAAATGATCATAAAACTCATCTTGGGAGTTTTTATAAATTAAATTCTGAGAAATTACTCAAGAAACCCTACATGAATAAGACTTAGTGTAACCTCAATTTTTTAACATGAACCTGACAATCCTCTTCCCAATCACAGTGATTCTGAGGCAGATGGTCAGTGAGCCATTATTTGAAAAGCATTTGTTTAGATAAGTCATAATCCCTTTAGTATATTTATTGTCCAATAATGGATTTTCTGCTTTTCCTATCTGTTATATTTGCATTTTAAAGAAGGCAATGCCTAAATAAGGCTCTGTAATGCTAGTAATGAAAGACTGTGGTGTGACCTTTGATAGTGGGTAAGGAGAATCCATCAGAACCCTTCCATTTATTATGTAACCAGTCCATAAACATGGGTCATCTCTCCATTTATTTATTACTTTTACAGCATTCTTCAACAATGTTTTATAGATTTTCAGGCTTAGACTTCTTTTTTTTATTTTTTTATTCCTAAGTATGTTATTCTATTTACTCTTATTGTAAACGGGGCTGTTTTCTTAATTTTATTTCCAGGTTGCTTATTGCTAGCTATAGAAATGCAGTTAATTTTCATATATTTATCTTGTATCAGAATAGAGTTTTAAGTGACTATGAGCTCTGAGTTAAACTGATGAGATTTGCAAAACAACTACATGAAGTTACAATGAAGTTATGACATGAAGTTACAATGTTGACTTCAAGTAATTACGATGCTACATCCAGAATAAGGAAGATTAAATCCCTTATATAATTGTACTTGTTAGTCTAGACTGATAAAGTATGTTCCATTCTAGAAATAACACGTCTAAGGTCAGCTATGACAGATGGAGTGTATCTACTAAAGCTTGACGTGAAAGACCATAGAGGCAAGTCAGGAATGTAATGTTGATCAGTTTCATTTATGTTTCAACCAGTTAGTCAATATGTAAACATGAATATTTGAGGCTCATTTTTCTCTTCTTATAAAGAGAGATAAAGTTATCTTACCTCTTATAGCGTGTTAGAAGATCCAGTGACACAGCCTAGCTTAACACCTAGAAAGATCACCAAAGGCTTAACAGCATACTGGACTATCAGTTTGGGGTATGTTTAAATTACTCTGAAGGCAGCTTTGCTTAAATGATAAGATTGGAGTCACATGGAGAGAACAAAGGCTTGTACCTGCTTCATTTCATTTTCCTGCGGTTTGCAAATGTGCCTCATATTGTTTAATAGCTTAGCAAGAATTAAAGACATTGAGCATTTTATTTTAATTTTCACTTAGGGATTAAGACTTACTACTCAATGTAAATGTGTTTTATAATGTTTCTGACAGAGAGGCAGCAAATACTTAACTTTTCTTCATGCTTTGAGGAAATGAAAAGCAATAATGGCTTATGTTTAGCAATCTGAGCACTTGCTCAGTTTCTTGCCATTACACCTGCTTGCAAGACCCTGACCCTTTATAGGGAGTTTATTCAACAGAAAAAACAAAACAAAACAAAACAAAAGTATTGTTTAAGGAAATGTACAGAAAATAAATCCTAGAGCTGAGAGTAGAAAACTATGCCAGGCTTTTCATGTTACAGCAATTTTGTCAGAGATTTAAGATATCCTAGTTTGCTACTATATCCAATATTCATTGCGTGACATTTGATGGCCCTGATGAGTTGTTGGCAGATACCTGGGTAACAAAATTTCCTAGGCAAGGCATGCCCTGCTGTAAATGGGCTGAGAGACCACTGACCAGTGTCCTTATGGGCTACACGCCATCAGACCATCTGAAGAGGTTGGCTTCGTACAAGGCATTCTTCATTGTGCTACTGTCATATTTTTTAAGGAGCAAGCATCCCTCCAGATAATGTAGAAATGCTAGATAATTCCCTAAGGTCTTTAAAACAATATTCTGCTCTTCACATTTGATTAAAATTTTCATGTTTACCCTTCTATAACATCTTGATTCAAAGCTTATAAAAATATGAACTTGTGTTTTCTTACCATAATTCTTATAAAATTTTTTAAAATAATATTTAAATTATTATTTTAGTAAATAAAAATAACCCTATAAGCATGCGGTAATAAATAATACTTATTAGAAGGCTATTGGCCAAACATAGATGTGCAAATACAAAAGTTAATTTGATGAATAACTTTTGGATTCCCTCTCCTAGCTTCTCTGCAAGACACATAATGGCTTTTTCCCCTGGGTCCCTATCATGCTTGGTTTATACATGTGTTTTATCTTGTATCACATTCCACCTTGCACATTGATTATTCATATAATATTCTCATTTTCATTAGATAACAAGCAATTTCAGGACAGAGACTATAAAAATATGGATATTTCCGTCAGAACCAAGCAAAATGCTCATCTTAACAGATGTTTTTTAATATTTCTTGAAAACATCCAAAATTACAAAGTTAGACAGGGCTGCATTTTTTCAAAATTTTAAAAATTTCATGTGGAGAATGAAGAAGTTAAAGTTCAGAGAGGGGGCGTGACTTGCATAGAGGTGCAGAGTTAGACCCTGCTCCACTCCCAGACTGCCATTCCTCCATCAACTGCATTCAGGGTTGTCACCTTGATGCAGCATTACATTTTCAGTCTTTGAGCTTCTTACTTTATGGTTTCTGACCTTCTGGTTATTAAAACAGCACTAAAATATCATTCTGTAATTAATACAACCAATGCATTTCATATACAATAATGGCATCACACAAAAATTTACCCGAAGTGCATTTGTGTTTCTATGTAACTTGATATTTAATTTCATTTTTC